GTATGATATGACTGGATAGAAATTATTACTAAAAAGTAAAGAATTTATTATTTGTTTTACCTAGATTATATTTAAATATATTTAAGACTGAGAAGATATTGCAATTTTGAAGCGAAAAATTCGCATTCCAGCGCAAGAGGTTAAGTTGAGGCATTGACCGGAAGATAGGTGTTAACCTGGAGGATACCAAACATAACAGGCTCGCGGGTCGGCGACCGATAATAAAAACAATAGCCATGATCGCGCGTGAAAAACATTAGGACTTTTTGCCAACATGAAAAAAGCGAGCAATTGTCCTTAGCTAAACATAATTAAAAACAAAACAATAAATTCATGCAGACAAGAAGTCTAAATCGCCTTCTTTCTAGAAAGTTCTAGAAGCAATTATCTAACATAATTTTCATATTGCGAATCACATCTCACGACGTAATGGAAAATGCCTGAACAGATTTACAATTGCCAATTTATTTCCAACGTAGGTTTATATTTTGACAAATAAGATTCAAGTGACAATTTTTGACATGAACGCAATCTAATTGTGTTAATATATATAATAATATGTATCAAAGTAATTCAAACATCGCATATGCGACATATAAAAAACGTGTTAGACATCTGACGAAAAATATCATTTTACTAACATCATCGCTAACAAGTTTTAATTATAACAATATTTCTCAGCTTCTTTTTAGCTTCATATAAATTTGGATAACAACATCTGGAAGAATAACAATGAAGTTAAAATATTTGACGCAGGTGATCATAATTGGAATTATTTTAATATTGAATACATACATTTTTTGTTAATGCATTTCCTTATACACTACGCAATGGTTATAAAAATTGTTAATTTCCGATCTAAAGAGATATGAATTTTTTGCAGAAAACTCCAGAAATGTTTGCTCTACGTCTGTGCAAGAAGGCTTTTCTTGAACAAATTGGCGAAATTGTGCGAATAAGTTATCGAAAAAATCTGCTGGTAATATGTTTGAAAAATTCGATGGCAATACGAAGATTTTGTATCCATGATTACGTAAATATGTTACTACACCTGTAAGAAATGACTTTGTGTCATTTACGAATAAACACACTTCGTCGCTCTTGCCTTTATAAAGGAATACATCTTTAGATATGTTAGAAAATTTATCAGCTGTATCATCTTCTTCACTCGCGAGTCTACAACGAATAACCCCCTCTTGTCCGTACCAAATTTGAAATAACCGTGGTTTCTCCGTAGCAATGTTTTTATACTGATGGTCAAATTTCCAAGGCTTTTCACTACACGAGATCCATATCTCATTATATACTATAACTTTATTTAAAGACGAAGAGTTGCGTAAATATGAGATAATTTCTTTGCACGTAGAAAGAATAAGAGAACTTTTAGGATTGATCCATTCGATTAACTTTTCTGATTTCATTGGTGTTATTATGATAAAAGAATTATCAGAATTCTGTAATGGTATATCTTCAGACTCGAACACTTTATACCATTCTCTAACCACTGAATCAGTAAAAATCAAATCACGAAATATTTTATTAATGTTCTTTACTGCCGAGTGTGCATTGTTGCCACGCGAGTATTCATTTAACAAATACATCATAAAAATATCTGCACGGTTTGTCATGTTTTCACTTTATCAGCAACGACAACTGAAATTAAAATGAGAAGTTCCTGATAACTTTTTACTTTATACTGTTTCGTTATTTCGACTAGAGACTAACTAAGACGGATTGACCTGATCGATCAACAATATACCATACGGATGTGGCTAGAAAGTTGTGGTTAGTGGGAGGAATATAGGTTTAATTGGTTTATAGCGTAACAAGAATACGTTTTGAAAAATGAGGCACATGTATTGGCCGAAATGGTCACGTCCGTATGAAAAATCTACATTTTCATTTGTCACTTAGAGTATTATTTTCATTGGTAACCAATTATGATCAGGTTCAGAAAATGATTTGAGACTTCTAAGCGATGATTGGAGACATGATTGATTTACGTGTGGATCTGACAATCTCGATCAATAATGAAACCAAGCCACAGGAGGTGTGCCTGTTCCGTTATAAGCCAATCAGATTTCTGTTCCTTCTATCAACTTCCCTTGATTTATCGGCCTTGGTATATCGTTCTTGCTGTTCACTTAGTCTTTAACGAAACACCGAAGTGTGAAGTGAGATTTGTGCGAAGCATTGAAAACTTTTTCTCATTTTAATCGCCGGTTACTCTTATACGTAAGTGCTTATACATACATAGAAGAAGATATAAGAATGTCAACACTTGCAGAAGCTTTTGTGATGTTTATGTTTCACGAATACGCATGTAAGGAGGATGTATTCTTGATAACAAAGAAACTCAAGAACATATTCAATTGTGAAATAGCTCCATTATCTATTTGCGGATGGTTTAAATTATTCGACTCGGAAGGGATATTACCCAAGAATTCCGACAATGATTCTTGTATCATTGCCAGAATGCAATCGGAGAAATTAACTCAGTGGATCAATCCTAACACGTATCTCTCCATTATGTGCAAAGAATTAATATCGTATTGCAAAGATTTAGAATTGTGTCGCGAAATTAGGAAAGCATTGTACGATGAAATATGGGTCTCGTATACTGAAAATTCTTACAAATTTGAACGTCGATACGAGATAAACATTGAGAACACAACGAACAAACAATTAGTTCAATTTTGGTGGGAAACAGGCAAAGCTTCTTTCATGTCGCCACGCGCAGAGAGTATTACAATAGAAGAATTTTCCCATACAATTAAAGATGTACGTTCAAAAGGACTTTGTAAGGAGTCGAAATACTTTAAACACATTTTCCTCATAGATAGCAGAAGTCCACTTCTCTGTGAAATATATAAAGATCTTAAAGAAGATTATAACATTCTTGCATTGCCGCCGAACTCCTCAGACATGGCGCCAATAAGTCATTTCGATAAGTTGTATGAACGGTTTCATGAATATCTGAAGAAAAAAAAGTATTCCAAGCTGGAAGCTATAGTGCCAGCATTTAAACAGTTCTGTAAAGAAAATCCAAATTTCTTTGAATCGGCATTTAATGATTTCTGTAACTGTTGCCAACTGTATATGAAAGTACATTAACGAGGGATGGTATGTATTCGGTATTAAAGTAATTGCAATTATCTATGTCAAGTACTTTAACTTTCATTATGCGTTATCCTTTCAGGTATGAATTTATCTATTAAAAATTGTATCGATGAAAATACTTGCGAATAAATCAGGCGTAAAACGATATTTCTTTCGCCGATTTCATGATTAGAATCATTTCCAAAAATTATGCCTGAAGCATTACTTGCAAGAATGCAGAATACATGTAAGAATTAGTATGCCTGGACTTACGTAAAGATTAAACTACATGAAGTACGAAATTTATTACGTGCCGAATAATGGAGAACATCGTGCAAGATTCATTTTCAACTGTGTTCGTGGAAATGTGCATATAACGTGTAATTTTAAAAAACAAAGAATAAGGGTGTATTTAATTAAATAAATAAAATCTATTTTGGTTAATTTAATTTATTAGTTTAGTTAATGAAATTTGATGTTTGTTGCATTAAATTTAAATGGAGGGAAGGCTTTCTAGTTCATCTTCGTAGCGATCAACATTTTACGATCACGTCAGTAGATCAACAATTGTCTGAAATACGACCAATTAATTACATGTGTTAGCCCGTGGTCGAAATACAGATATTTCTGTTATCTAATTATACAATTCGTAATTAAATCAAACAGGATGCGTATCATTGTTAAAATTATCTAATATAATTGTGCACGGATAAAGTCAGCCGCGTAAATTGCATGCAAAGCGTTCCATTGTTTTAGATTATTATCAGCTCGCGTTTCCCTTTAATTATCCATTTAAGACCGGAAATTTACGTGTATTATTTACCTAAGCGTTAGAGCGTATTCTACGAAACGAATCAGTATTGTTTTCCTTTTCACTGAGGATCGATTAATTAAAATCAATTTAATTTATACTCGAAATACAATTGGACTCGTTTGCAAATGAATTTTAGGATATGGAAAATGTCCCACTGTTCTTTTAATGCACTTGGTAGGACGTTATTCGCACTATCTCTCTTTAAATCGTGAAATTTTCCATTCTAAATAATTGAAATAAAACATTTTACAATCACGTGCGTACCGTCTGGTATATATTATTATTGTAATACAAGTGGGAGAAATTTCAAGATCGAATTAATTTTTTTTAATAGAACAATTAATGGTTTCTTTTATGACACTTTAGCATTTTTTACATAACATTTGTTGAGACGAATTCAATCGATCCTTCATATGAAGAATAAGAGAATTTTTTTATAACAACTAGAACCATAGAAGTATTGAACATAATTTATCATAGTATTTAAAATGTTTTCTTAAGATAAAGTTAAATATTTTTTACACCAAACTATTGAAATTCAGTTGTTTTAATAAAATTGTTTTGTAACATTCTCTGTTCCTTTCCCTTAACCTTCACAACGTGATCATTTATTGTTCTAAAATGTAAGAAATTACATTTCTTACAAATAAATCTGAATCGTTGATTGACTGTAAGATACAAACAAATGATCTTATTTCTATTAGTACTTGTAATTATTCAAATTACAAGAATTGTGTGTCAGTACTGTTTACGAAAAATTAGCTCGTTAAGGGTGACAGAACCAAATTTTGAACGATCTGCTTTTCTAAAGCAGACTCGACTCAGCTGGGTTGCTAATTTCCAGCAACCTGGCAAACCTGTCCTGAGAATTCTCGATGACTGTGTACGAACAAAGTCTCACAGGAATGCCAGTGTGCTTGCCATGCACTTAGATAACGTTGTTACCTTGTAAAGGTATAATTAAAATTTATACTTTACGGTTTCACGTGGACTATTTATTTATTATTTAACAAGACGAAACTTCCATTCCGGAACTTATAAATACAAAAATATTGTAATAATAGTTTGTGCTTGCTGCAGTATTAAACTGTTGTCTGTGGGGTCATTCTACTGTGCTTATATATCCTTTAATTTCTAGTCAATTCATACCTGACTAATTCCTGATAATGTTTTCATACCGATGGTCAAATTTCCAAGACATTTCAAGTACGCGAGATCCATATCTCATAATAAGTTTGTTTAAAAGGTACGAGTACTCTTAAAATTTATCCATTCCATTAACTTTTTTTGATTTCGTTGGTGCTATTATGATAAAAGAATTATCAGAATTCTGGAGTGGTATATCTTCAGATTCCATTCTCTAACCACTGATTCAAATCACGAAATTTTTGTTCATTGACGTTTAAACGTATACATCGTAAAAGCACTTGCACTTGGAGTGCCATGCTCTCTCTTCACTTTGCGAGCACTTACAACGACAACTGGCCGATCAAAATGAAAATTTCCCAATAAATTTTTACTTCGTACTGTTTCGTTGTTTCGTTACAGACTAACTGAAGATGGATTGACCTGATCGATCAACGAATGTGATTAAAAAGTTGGTTAGTGGGAGGAATGTAGGTTTAATTGATTTATAACGTAACAAGAATACATTTTAAAAATGAGACACACGTATTGACCGACGTCATCACGTTCATATGTAAATCTTCATTTTCATTCACTTTGAATGTTCAGAGAATCCTGAGTGATGACTGTAGGTGTTGACGTTCGATTTGCACGTGGATGTGACAATCTCGACAAATGATGAAAATATATCCCTTCTAAAACAACGTCACAGAAAGTGTTCCTGTAGAAATCATTCATTCTGTCAACCAACTTTCCTAAATCTTTACAATACTTTACTGATTTATCAGCATTTGGTATATCGTTATATATACATATTGCTATTCAGTCTTTAACGAAACGTCGAAGTGTGAAGTAAAATTTGTGTGAAGCGTTGAGAACTTTTTCTCACTTTATTCTCACACGCGAGTGCTTGTAAAATAGAAATAAAAGAAAAAAAGAAGGAAAATGGCAACACTCGGAGAAGCTTTCCTCACGTTTATGTTGCGCGAATATGCATACGAGAAGAATGTATTCTTGGTAGTAGAGAAAATACGAAGAACATTCAGCTGTGATATAACTCCAGCATGTGTCCGCGGTTGGTTTCAATTATTCGAATCGGAAGGTGAAGTGCTCGAGAATGACGATAAGTCTCGCCATCTGAAAATACGGTCGAAGAAAGTAAACGAGTGGTTCCATCCTAGTAACCTGTATCTCATTATTATGTGCAAAGAGTTAATGTCGTATCGCAAAGATATGGAATTTTCTCGCGTAATTGAGAAAACACTGTATGAAGAAATATGGATTTCGTATGCTGAGAATTCTTATAAATTTGAATGTCGGTATGAGATGGATGACGTTGATGATACAGCGAACAAACAGTTAGTCCAAGTTTGGTGGGAGTCAGTCATCAGGCACAGTTTCTTTCATGTCCCCAATTTCAGATAATCTTACAATAAAAGAATTTTATCGTGCAGTTAAAGATGTACGTTTACGTTCGTATTCAGTTCGGGACACAGTGCTGATGAAACACATTTTTATCATAGATTGCAGAAATCCACTACTTTCTGACATACGTAAAAGTTTTTCACGCCATTATAACATCCTTGCATTGCCACCGAATTTTTCAGATATTATGCCGATGAATCATCCTTTCGATAAGTTGTATGATCAATTTCATAAATATCTTAAAGAAAATAGGTATTCAAATCTAGAGGTTATAGAAACAGCATTTAGTAAATTTTGTAAAGAAAATTTACTTCTCTTTAACTAACTCGGTATTCAATGATTTCTATACCAGTTGCATACTGTATATGAAAATGCGAAATGGGAACGATGTATGTATTCAGTATTAAAATAATTCCCAACTGCAATTATTTGTGTTAAGCATTTCAATTTGATTGTACGCCTTATCTTTTCAGATGTGAATTTATATGACGCTATAAAAAAAACTGTATAGACTTGCCAATAAATCAGACGAAAGAACGATATTTCTTTTGCCAATTTCATGGTTAGAATCATTTCTAAAAATTATGTCTATCTAATAAATGATAGTATGACAACCCAGAATGCTCGAAATGAATGGAATCTACTGGAGCATTATTTTGCAAGAATGCAGAATACATGTAAGAATTACATACATTCTTGAATTAGGCACACATGGTAAGAGTGTTTATTACGTGCCGAATAAACGGGAATCGAGTGTTCGTGGGAATATATTAAATAATTTCAAAAATAAAGAATGAAAGTGTGTTTTCTTTTTTGTCATCTCCTCGTTCATTTTAATTTATTTGATTTAATTTATTTGATTTAATTTATTAGTTCAGCCAGTAGAATTTAATTTCTATTTAAATTTAAATGAAGGGAAGAACTTTTATAGTTTGTTGAAGATCTTTTACCTTGTTGTTAGTTTCAAGAAACGAAGAAAGCAAAGTGGTCGAAGCATTCTCCATCGAATCGCGAAGGCGGTTATAACAATTGTAAAAAACAATTAAATACACAGAAAACTTGCTAATTTTAGACGTTAGAGTTTTTGTCAGCATAGAAGAAGTTGCTCGACAAATCCAAAATATTATGAATTTGGCCCATTTTTTTTTTTTT